TTCTGACTTCTGAGAACCCCAAGGTGAACCGATCATAAGGTTTTCTTGACAAGATTTCTTCAGAGAGGGTTTGCCATCGCCCTCCTCTGAGGCTGAGAGAGTGTGACTGGCCTAAGGTCACCCAATGGATTTCCATGGCTGGGCAGGGATTCGAACCCTGGTCCCTAGCGTCATAGTCCAGTGCTCAAACCATTGCACCACGCCGGCCTTACAAAACAAATCCTACCATTGTGCAAAATGCAGACACGGCATTTAGAGTGTTGTGAATGTGTACTATGAAGGAGACCCATAAGAACACTAAATAATGCAAATCTGGGTTGTTAAAAGCATCCGTCTCCCGCTCAAAAGGCGGCGTAAATATCGTCGGCGGCTCCACTTCGCATCTGCGTCTCCTCCTAAGTAGATTTGTCTCACTTAGAACAAACCGTTCTTCCACCAAGAGGATGCTCCGAATGGCGATGTTAAAGACCCAACCGAATCAAAGAAGAAATACGTATATACAACATAGATATCCATAGACAACAAAGATCAAACACGATGCAGGCCGTGTTCACATTATACTATGAAATTGCCAAACATCACTTTAAATCGCAGGAACATCCAGGCCAGTGGTTCGCTCAAGAATAACAGCAATCTTGTTAAATAATGTAAGACAGAAAAATGGCTCTGAAAAATATCATGTTATATTCATTTAGTGGATGCAACCTACTGGCAAGCATCCTCATCCCTGCCAGCATTTTGCAGATGGAAACAGGGAAAGACGTGTGGCCAAGCAAAGTCGGAGTGTGGCCAAGATGGCAACAGTTATGAATGAGACACAAGTGAAGAGAAGCTGCAGCAGTTTGCTTTTGCTTGAATCTACTGGGAAGGGCAAGGTCCAGTCCCTTCCTCTCTTCTCCTTTCCTTTCCTTTCCTTTCCTTGCTGATGAATTGATGGGGTGCAAATTCCTTTTTCATTTTGAACTCAGTTTGCAGCAATGGAAGTCAGCTGAGGATAGAAGAGGAGGAGGAGAGAGAAACTGGGATATTTTAAAAGCATCTGAAAATTGGGAAGGCAGAGAATTAATTGGGATTGCCATTTGCTGATAGAATGCAAATGACTGTTTCGCTCACTGCCGTGTTCTTTATTAAAATAAGGGAGGGCAGAGTATGCATTCTCTTTTAAAGTATCATTCTCAGAAGTTGCTTGGATGTGGGGTGTTATTGTACTTTGCAATATGGCCAACATGGATGCCCCAGATATGTTTTCTGAATGTAAGATATGGCATTTCAGTTGCAATAGGGGAATCCCAAAGAGAGAGTCAATGGACTGTTTCTACCTCCAACAAAGGTAAAATTTTTAAAAAGGGACTGCATGTAGCATGTTTAACCAAAAAGGCACCTAAAAGTTTTCCTAATGCATAAGCATGGCAGATTCCTGAGAAATTCAGGGCCTTTGCAGACTGCTAGAAATAGTGCAAACTGAGTCCACTTTAACTGCCCTGGCTCAGTGCTAGGGAATCATGGGAACTGTAGTTTATTGTGGCACCAGAGTTCTCTGACAGAGAAGGCTCAATGTCCCAGAAAAAAAATTCCCATGATTCCCTAGCACTGAGCCAGGGCAGTTTAAGTGGACTCAATTTGCACTATTTCTAGCAGTCTGCAAAGGCCCAAGTTCAAGAATCTGCATTCAAGATAGTGTGGCCTAGGGTTATGCTAACCTGGGTTGGGAATGGCATGTTCCTCCAGGTGATGTTGGACTGCACATCCCATCATCCCTAGACTGTAGCCAATGCTGGGAGCTGCAGTAGAGACTGCACCTTTTGGGTTCCAACTGAAGTTTCCAAACACTCTTCCAAGGCAATGGCCAGATCTGATGTCTGGATTAAGTTTCACTTCATCTGATGCTTGTTGTTGCAATAAGATACTTATTAAAAGGCCCTTTGAGAAATGCTCCTTAAAATAGCTATTGAAAGTAACTGGAAAGTGTCAGTGTTGCACCAGTAAAATAACATTGCTGCTGTTTGGAAGTTGCTTTTGAAATGGAACATTGTTACTCTGTCGGCCACTTCCCAAAAGTTACAAGTTACAGGCAACTATGTTACACAAAACTCATTACCTCTGAGCTTGCAATTGATCTTTTAATTCAGTTTTCTTTGGTGTCAGAAATGACAACCCAAATCCTGCATCATCCTTGCGTAGGGTTGTCAGGTGTCTCTTATTATAAGCCTTTATAATAGTAAAGATTTTTTAATAACATAAGGGATTATATTTGTGGGCTGAAGAGCTTGTCCTTTTATATAGACTGAACATTTGCCAATACACAAACACACACAATGCATATATATATATATATATACACATGCATACACACACACACACACACATTGCATTGTGGTCCCTTCATAAAGACAGAATTGTATGCATCTTATATCTTATGAATATGGACACTCTGATCATTTTGCAGAGAAATGCATGGCTAGGTGAACCAAAATCAATACCTTCATCTGGTATTTAGTTAGAAAATTATAATTCCTGGATATCATGAATTTTGGCTGTGCCTTTCTGCTATTCTGCAAAACAGACCTCATGCATCCTCTCAACCCTTCCTTTTTAGGGTCCCCTGTGCTCCCCAAAATTTCATATTTAAAAACAATTGGCGTCTTGGTTTCCTGCACACTGGTCAATGAGGAAAGGAATTAAACACTCTTATAATCAAAGGACTAGATGTGATTCCAGCAGATAGCACAGCGAATAAAGCTCTCTTGGGTTCAAGATCACTAATCAATATCATATTCATTGAAGTCAA